CAGCTGAGGGTGTCACAGGGTGTGTGTGTGGGGGGGGGAAGGTTCCTGGGCAGGGTGGGGGGTGGGCAGGAGCCAGGACTCCTGGGTTCTCTCCCAGCTCTGCGAGGGGAAGATGGGCAGGGTGGGGGTGACGTGCAGGTTCTGGCGGTGAGCGGATTTCCAGGTATCTGATGTAACAACTTCTGCTTCTGCTCGTCCCCCCCCCCCCGTCCCCCCCAGGTGCGGCTTGTTCGGCTGGGATCTTTCTAGTGAATCTCCATAAAGAGGAACCAGAGAAACCAAACATCCGTGTTCAGCCGCCTGGCCAGCAAAACACCCATCAGCCAGCGCCCACTGCCAGCCGGGGGGACCCAGGAGTCCTGGCTCCCAGCCCCAACCCACTGGGCCCCACTCCCCTCCCCGAGCTGGAAGAGAACCCAGGAGTCCTGGCTCCCAGCCCCCCTGGCTCCCTGGCCTTCTGCGCTGCCTTCGCCCCCCAGCCCAGGGCCATGGCTCTGCGCAGCTGCTTCCCCCAGCAGGACGCCCCCTCGTAGTATTTGCAAAGCAAATGTCGCTGCAGCGCAGGGAACTGATCCCTGGCCCCGTCCCGGGGGCAGGCCGTGAGTGTGTCGGTCTCGGCTCCCCAGGCCCGGGCTGTCACCCAGCCCGTCTGGCAGGGCCCCACTGCTCTGAGCTAGGCCCTGCAGCCCCCGCTGCTCCCCAGGGTTCCCCAGCTGAGCCCCAGCCCCAGCAGAGACGCGCCCCCCGTCCCCAGGGAGCGGCTCCGGGCAGCCTGTGATGACCAGCCGGCACGTCCAAGTCCCCGGGGCGCCAGGATCAGGCCACTGCCCGCCTGGCACCCCCTCACCGCCCTGACCTGCGGAGATTAACCCTTTCACCGCAGCAGGTGGCCGTGCTCAGTGAGTGGGGAAACCGAGTCACAGCCGGTGGCCAGCAAAATATGACAACAGCAGGATTCTCTGCCCCCACCCCGATCCGGGGAAGGTCAAGGCCCCTCCTAGCCTGGGTCATGCGCGCCACCCAGGCGAGGCCGACACCACCACAGCCAGCGCGTTTCCGCCCGTCCCCTCGGCCGTTGAGCAACGGCGCAATTCTCACCCACCCCGATAACCGAACGCCGTGGAGCAGCGTCGCGCCCGCCCAGTGCCTTCCCCTCTGAGCACACGAGCAGGGACACATGGGAAGGTCACACCCCCATCCTGTGGGTTCGACGCTGGCAGGGGGTTTGAGAGGGGCAGTGACCCCCCTGCCTCCATGCGCCAGCCGCAGCGGCTGCAGGCCGGGATGTCCTAGGCTGGGGCGGGAGGTGACCCTGTCACTGTTTGGGGGCTGGGTGTCGGGTTGCCCCCCTGGAGGCTGGTCACAGCTCTGGTGTCCCGCGGTCTGGTGTGGCTGGGGGCCCACCCACACTGCCCGGCTCCCGCTGGAATTGTCTCCCCCAGGCTGTGCGTGTGCCAGGACCCCAGTTCCCCTCTGGGGGTGAACCTGCTGCTCCAACCCCCAGGGCAGAGCCCCTCCCGCCCCATGGTGGGCTGTGATCCGGAGTCTCTGAGTCAGGGGAACCCGCCCTGGCCACGGCCACCCTCTGCCCAGGTCTCTGTTACCAGCACCAGCCGTCCAGCGGCTTCCCCCTTCCCTGGGGTGTCCCTCGCCCCTGGCAGGGTGAACCCGTTGGGCATCGGCCTGCCCTGCCCGTCTCCCCCTCACCCAGCGGGGAGCCAGCCACCCCTGGGCCCAGCCCTGCCCGGTGAGGACAGGCCGATCGGCTCCGTCTGTCGCAGCCCCAGGCTCCTGGGAGTTCACCCCGGACCCCCGTGACTCAGTCCCTGGTGTGGGGCTGGGTGGGGCCTTCCCCTGCCCTGCCCCACTCGGGGTCACAGCAGGGGAAACGTCCTCAGCAGAGCGACCCTTCCTGAGGGGGGGGGAACCCTAACCCCCAACTCCAACCCTCCCCCTCCGACGCCCATTTGCACCTTGTCTGACATCTCCTGTCACATCAATATGGGCCCAGCCAGGCCCTTGGCTTCCTGGGGGCGGGGGGGGGGGTGCTTGGCCCAAAGTGACCGGGCAGGGGGGGCTTGTCCTGACCCAGCTGCTGCTGGAGAGACGCTGCCCAGGGCCCTTCCTCAGCGGGTCCCTGGAGCGCCAGGTCACGGCCCTGCAGCAGTCCAAGGGGCGTCCACGGAGACCCACCCAGCCGGCCTGCACTGAGCTCGGGCAGCGCTGGGGGGGCGTTGGGGTCACACCTGGAACCGTCCCCCGGTTCTACCCCCTTCGGCCCTTGCTGGGGCGTGAGCGCACTGAGCTCGTCCCTGCGGCCAGGGAAAGTCTCCCCGTCAGCCCCCAGCGCCGGCTCCCGACGGCCGAGCCCCTGAGTCCAGCCAGACACGAGCCCCGGGGACCCAGCGACCAGCCCGTCCTCTGCCTGGGGATCTGCCCGTCCCATCTCGCTGTCCGTGTGTGTCTGTCGTCCCCGTGTCCTCCCATCCCTGTGTCCATCTGTGTCCCCCCACACCCAGTGTCTGCGTGTCCCCATGTCTGTGTCTGCTTGTCCCATGTCCCCGGGTCCCCGCCCCCAGCGTCGGCCTGTCCCCGCCCTCCCCGCTCACACCCGGCAGTCGTGGGGGCAGTTTTGACATTTTGTTTTATTACAAACAGCGTCAATCACGGTACAAACCCCGATCAGCCAGTCCCACCCGCTGTGAGCGACACCCCCCTAGCCCCTCACAATCATCATCCCACACCCACCTGAGCAGCACAACCCCCCTGCACCTCGGACACTGTCTGACAGCGGGAGGCTTGGGGAGGGGGATGCGGAGAGCTGGGGGTGGAGCTGGGGGGCACAGGGCTCTGGGCTGAGATGCTATGGGGTGACTGCACTGCCTCACCCCTGCACCGGGGCTGCCCAGATCCACACCCCACGCCCAGCCAGCACCAACAGCGCGGCCTGGGGTGGGGGTGTCGCCGTTATCCTTCAGCCCCACACACAGACCATCCCCCCCTGCACAGCACCCCCCCCCCCAGCCCCGACCCCTGTGCAAAGCAGAGATTAACCCAGGAGTCCTGGTTCCCAGCCCCCTGCTCTAACCACTAGAACCCCCTCCATTCCCAGAGCCCCTCAGGAGTCCTGACGGCCCTCACCCGGGGAGGGTATCACACGCGTGCTCAGTGGGCAGTGACCCTGCATGGTGGGGAGGGGGTAGGTGGGACCGGAGCTGCCCCACAGCGAGTGCTGCATTGGGGGTGGGGGGGGGGTGCTGCAGAAGCTCCCCTGGGCGGTGGGGTGGGGGGGCGTGCAGTGATTCCCGAGGTCCCAAGCAAATCACAGTCATTTCTTTCTGATTTCTGAGTAGACAGTGCCGCTCTCCCGGGGGGGCTCGGGCCCGGGCGGCGGCTTCTGGTCTCCTGCGGTGAAAGCGAGTGTAGAATACTGAATGTCTTCGTCACCCTGGAAGACAGGAAAGCCAGATCAAGGACTGCAACAGGCAGAGAACCCAGGAGTCCTGGCTCCCAGCCCCCCCTGCTCTAACCCACCAGACCCCACTCCCCTGCCTGGGTCAGAGATAGAACCCAGGAGTCCTGGCTCCCAGCCCCCCCCCCCCCGGCTCCCCCTGCCCTCCCAGCAGCAGGATAGAACCCAGGAGTTCTGCGGCCGGACACGAAGGCTCCTTACCAAGGTAGGTTTGTTGTCACAGACGCCCTGATCTGAAGGACAGAGACAGAAGACAGACGGGGTTAGAAACACGACAGTCCCGGGGTGCAGCCCCGCCCCCCCCCAGCCAAGCAGTGACCCCCCTCCCCAGGGGGCAGCAGGGCCCGTGCGGAGTTAGTGGCAGCAGGCGAAGCACCACGTGGGTTATGGCTGCAGCCGGCGTGGCCCCCAAGGGCTCAGCAGGGATCCTCAGGGTGGGGGGCTCCTTGCACCAGGATGGTGAACCCAGCAGGGGAGGGCAAGGGAAGGGAAGGGGGAGTGGGGGGGGATGGGGAGGGAATAAGCAGGGAACCCCTTGGCCATGTGACCCCCAGCCTGTGTCTCCGCAGTGCTGCCCCAGGTTCCCAGCACCAGCCACACGGGTTGGGCTGGGTTGGGGAGGGAGGGGAGCAAGGGGGGCTTGAGGGAGGGAAGGGGGTGGGGGGATGGGATAAGCAGGGAACCCCAGACCCAAGTGACCCCTTGCCCCATATCCGCTGTTGCCCCCAGAGTTCCCAGCACCGGGGGTGGGGGGCACCCGGAGCCCGTGACACCCACAGCCCAGAGCAGTGACGGGGTATCCGGGACCCAGCCCGGGGGAAGAGAATCCCAGACGGGATCTTGGAAACTGGGGCTGGCGCAGCCGCGATGTCACTTCCTGTCTGGCCAGGGAGTTTCCCATCATGCCCCTGGGCTTGGCCGTCCATCACTCTTTGGCATGGGGGAGCGGCAGCAGCACTAGCAGCGGTGCAGGCATGTGGCTTGCAGGCCCCGCCCACACTGCTCACAGGCCCCGCCCACACGGCTCGCAGGCCCCGCCCACACAGCTCACAGGCCCCGACCACGAGGCACAGGGGCGGGGCTGCTACTTACTGGGGGCGGGGGCGGCCTGGCCTCCGACGGGCGGGCGCTGCTTGGGCCCCCTGGGGAAACAGCAGACTCTGCGTGACGCCAGGTGGGGGAGGGATTGGGCCGTCCCCCACGCCAGGGACGGGGGCAGCAACCAGCCGGCTTCCCCAAAACTGCAGACCTGTCCCCCCCTCCTCTCGCCTCCCCACGGGCCATCCACCCCCACACACACCTACCGAACCCCACAGCCATCCATCCCCCCCACCTCTCTATCCATCCACCCCCCCACATGCACCATGTGCCCCAGACTCAGCCCCTGGGGAGTGGGGATGGGTAGCTCTGGGGTTGCTCCGGGCGCTGGGTGCCAGCCTGGGCAGGGATTGTTCCCTGGGAGACCTGACACTGTTTCCAAGAGGCGTGTGGGGCGAGATCCCATCCTGGGGGGCAGAGAGGTGGAAGGACCCTTCACCACAGAGCGAGTGACAAGCAGAGACCCCGAAGTGCAGAGACCTGGGGCTGGAGGGCAGAGAGACTGACCCCCTCCAGCACCTAGGGGCAGCTCCCAACCCCGCTACTCACCAGGGCTCGGGGCAGCCCCCAGCCCCAGGGCCCCCCGGCCCCCTGAGCCATTACCCTCCAGTTTTGCGGAGCAGGAAGTAGAGCAGGCCCCCGAGCAGCGCCGCCCCGGCCATCGACCCGATGACGATCCCGGCGATGGCTCCGGGTGTCAGGCCTAGGGGTGAAGGTGCCTCTGGAAGAGATTTGGGAGGAGAAAATGGGGGGTGTATCAGGGAGTCCAGTCACGACCCCACCCAGCCCCACACTTCCCAATGCTGCTCCCTCTTGGTGCCCAACGTGAGGCCCTGGGGGCTGGAGCCCCCATCTGCCCCCCCGGAGACATTGGGGGCAGCTCAGCCAGGGGTCTGCTGAGCCTGACGGGTTTGGGCCCAAGACAGGACCCAGGATGTGGTGGGCTGAGGGGGGGTCCGAAGGTCAGGAACTGGGAGGTCTCCTGGTGGTGTCCAGCCCCCTTGGGAGCAGGGGAGGTTTGGGGCCCCCCAGTGGTGACAGTGCCCCCACACCCAGCGCTGGGTGAGCAGGGGTCTCAGCTCTATCACTGGCTGGTGCTGGGGGGATTCAGGAGACCATGGGGCTGGACGGCGCATTGACAGATCCCCTGCCCCCCAGCCACAATGGAGCCCCCCCAGCCATGGGGGAGACAGACCCCCAGCCTAGCCCCAGTCCAGACCCCCACAGTGCCTGGCCCTAGAGAGGAGCAGCACTGACCAGGAGAGAGAGGGGACCCAGTACAAAGACACCATCACCCAAGGGTCCCCTGAGCGCCACCCCACACCCAGCCCTGGCTCCCCCTGCACCTCGCCCCAGCCCCAGCCGTGCCTCTCCCCCAGGTAGGGCATTTTCTGGTGCCTGACTCACTTAACCGCACATCCACAGATGCTGAGGCAGTGAGGTTGGTGACGGGATTGTGAGCCTGGCACATGTACATGCCCTGGTGATCCTGAGTAATGGAGTTAATGGTCAAGCTGCTTCCAGTCTCTTTAGCGTCGGTGCCGTTGAGAACCCAGCGATAGCTCGGGGCTGGAACGGAGTCGGCGACGCACGTCAGGGTCAGAGGGGACCCGAGGGTAATGGATCCCGACTGGTCTATCTTGGCTGAGTCCGGCCCATCTACACAGAGAGGGAGGGCATCAGGGGAGGGGACAGTGCCAGCGAGGGATCCCTGTATAACCAGCCCCAGCCCTCTGCCCCAGAGGGGTCGTAACTCAGCACAGCGCGAAGACTCCCCATATAAACAGCCCCTGTATCATGCCCAAGAGGGACCAAACCTCAACACCAGGTGAGGGGGCCCAGTATAATCCGCCCGTTTCCCACCCCAGAGGCAGCTGCATCTCTGTGGCTGGGTGATGCCGGCAGGACCAGGGGCAGCACGGCCGGGGGACGGGGCTGCAGTTACTCACAGGCCACCGTGATGTTGCTGGGCTCGCTGCGGTTGGTGCTGACGGGGTTCCCGACCTCGCACTGGTAGGCGCCGGCGTCGCCCCGGATGACATTTGGCACTGTGAGGGTCCGGTTGTCAGGGGACAGCCCCAGCCGCTCACTGGGCACAAGGGATGCCCCATCCCGGAACCAGAGCACGGTGTCGGCGCTGGGGGAGCCATTACACGTGAGGGTGAGGGTCCTGTTCTCCAGCACCAGGGTTTGGTTTGGCGTCACCGTGGGCTTGGGCAGGATTTCTGGGAACAGAGAGAGCGTTACCATGTGTCCCTACTCCTCCATCTGCCCACGACAGGGGCTGCTGCCCTGTGGGATTGTGGGAAGGGTCCTGGCACCACCATCCCGCTGCATTGTGGGAAGGTCCCAGCATCGCTGTCCGGCGGTGTCGTGGGAAGGGTCCTTTGCCCCTCAGAGCTGCGGAGACCGGCAGTTGCCTTCTGGGGTCCACCAGAGGGTCCCTCTCCCCGGCGTCAAGTCTCACAGTTATAGGTTCCTCCCTGAGGCTCTGGCTCCCGGAGCCCCAAGATTTTTGGGAGACTCTCGGCTGTGGTTCGAAGCGGGAGCGACGCTCCAGCTCCCAGGTCTGTCCCAGGATCCAGCCTCACAGCAGGGTTTTCAATGCTTGGTGCCACTGACATTGCCCTGTGGGCACAACCCCGTGTTTGGTCCTTGCCGTCCCCTCCGACCCGGATGGTGCTGCCCATCCCAGACCCTGGCCAGGCGGTGAGGGTGGCGCTGCTGATGCATCATGGGAAGTCTGCCAGAGCCACTCTCACTGACCCAGGGGAGATCAGAGGTGACCCAGTGAGGTCATGGGGCAGCCCCCGATTCCTACCCAGCCCTATAGCTCAGCAAGGGCCTCATTGCCCCAGGCCCCCTGGGTTCTCCCCATACGTCCCGCGAGAGTCCAAGTGGGGCAGGTGCATACGCCAGACTCCAACTGCAGGGCCAAGGAAACTCCTCCAGTCTGTACCCCCTCTTTGGGGTGTCCCCTGGGGGAAAGATTGTCCCCTCTACTATAAATCCATTTCACCCTGGGCGAGCGCAGGATCATCCCTGCCAGTCTGTCCTCCCCTCCCAGAGGGTGGGATCCAGTCTGTTCCCTCAGAGCAGCCCCCATCCCCTTGTCCCCCTCCGAGCTCCCTGTCCTGCCCACTGGCTAATTCACTCTCCAGCATCCCTTGCTGGGGGGCACCGAGCAGCGCGGGGGTCGTGGGGGGTAGGCTGATAGCGGGTACAGACCGACCGCCCCACACACCCCGGCAGAGCCATGGCCACACGCCCGGCCCAGGTGGGAACCAGCCGGAGGCGCCAGGTGGACAGGAATCTGCTGTCGGAGCTGCAGTGGGGCGTCCCACAGGGGACAGATGCCCCGGAGGGGCGGGGGGCAGAGACAGGACAGAGCCGGGAGGGAGACGGGCACAGAGCAGGGCACTCGACGCGCTGATCGGACGGGTCGGGCACCGCTTGGAAAGCGACAGGTAGCGTCCGGCCCAGCTGCAGCACGGCTGGGAGCAGCCCCCACAGGACAGAGCCCACGGGGTGGAGCTGGGCCCTGGACAGGACCCGAGCGCAGGGGGATGTGGCTGGACTGACAGTGAACTAGCCGAGAGCGCCCAGCACGGGGAGCGGGAGCGGCGCAGGCAGTGACAGGTGATAGAGCAGTGTCTGATCCAGACAGACGGGAGCGTCCCCTGGAGAACAGAGCCCGAGGGGTGAATCCAGAACAGAGCTGAAGACGCCAGACCCGGCTCCAGAGCCAGGAGAGCCCAGGACGCAGGAACGGTGCTGACCCGCGGGGTTGTTGCACAGAGTAACAGGCGACAGGGGACGTCCCATGCAGACAGGGAGCCCGGCTGGAGACTGGACAGATCTGGAGTGGCCAGGGCACCCGCTGGACAGACAGCGACAGAGCCCCCGGTGTTCTGTGGGCCTGAGACAGAGACAGGCCCGGCTACTCACCCAGCACCTGGATTACCAGGGTGGTGCTGTTCTTGGTCAGGTTGGTGACGGGGTTCTGTGCCTGGCACATGTACGTGCCCTGCTGATCCAAGCTCGTCAGATTAAGGGTCAAGCTGCTCCCGGTCTCCTTTAATTCAGTGCTGTTGAGAACCCAGCGATAGTGCGGGGCTGGGACGGACTCAGAGACGCACGTCAGGCTGACAAGGGACCCCAAGGGCTGGGGGAGGAGTTCTGGTGGCTCTATCCTGGCGGAGTCTGGCCCATCTGCACAGAGAGGGAGGAGGTCAGGGGAAAGGTCAGCACCAGAAAGGGATCCCGTATAAACAGCCCCACACCCAACTCCATGGGCAGCTGCATCGCCATGGTTGGGTGAGAGCCAGGCACAGCGCGGCCGGGGATCAGAGCTGCAGTTACTCACAGGCCACCGTGACGTTGCTGGGCTCACTGCGGTTGGTGCTGACGGGGTTCCTGACCTCGCACTGGTAGGCGCCGGCGTCGCCCCTGGTCACATTCATCACTGTGAGAGTCCGGTTGTCAGAGGATAGAACCAGCCGCTCACTGTCCGAGGGGGACACCCTGTCCCGGAGCCAGAGCACGATGTCAGCACTGGGGGAAGTGTTACACGTGAGGTTGAAAGTCCCATTCTCAGGCACGAGGGTTTGGTTTGGCGTCACTGTGGGCCTGGGCAGCATTTCTGTGCAGGGAACAGAGAGAGCGTTACCGTGTGTCCCTGCCCCTCCATCCGCATAGGATCGGGGTCCAGCACCACCGTTCTGTGGGATTGTGGGGAAGGTCCCAGTGTAGTCATCCCACAGCATTGTGGGAAGGATCCTGGTGTCGCCACCATGTGGGATTGTGGGAAGGATCCTGGCATAGCCTTCCTGAGGTGTCGTGGGAAGGGTCCTTCGCCCTTTGCCCCTCAGAGCTGCGGACACGGGCGGTCGCCTTCTGGGGTCCGGCAGAGGGTCCCTCTCCCCGGTGTTGAGTCTCACAGTTATTGGTGCCTCCCTGAGGCTCTGGCTCCTGGAGTCCTGTGATTTTTGGGAGACTCTCGGCTGTGGTTTGAAGGGAGAGCGACGCTCCAGCTCCCAGGCTCCGGCCCGACAGCAGGGTTTTCAAGCCGATCCCATGACAGTTCGGGCCCAACAGGAGGGTTGTGACCCCACAGGGTGCTTGGTGCTGCTGGCATTGCCGGGTCCTTGCCGTCCGCTCCTACCCGGACAGAGATGCCCATCCCAGACCCAGGTCGGGGGTGACCTCGCTGGTGCATCATGGGTAGTTTGCCAGAGCCTCTTACTGACCTCGGGGAGCTCAGGGTGACCCAGTGGGGTGAGGGGGGTACCCCCCAGCCCAGCGCTGCCCCCCATTCCTACCCAGCCCCATAGCTCAGCAAGGGCCTCACAGCCCCAGGCCCCCTGGGTTCTCCCCACGACCCACGAGAGTCCGACTGGGGAGGGGGCGTCCGGACTCCAGCAGCAGGGCCAAGGAAACCCCACCAGTTTATATCCCCTTCCCCGGGGGTCGGGGGTGGGATTGTCCCCTTCAGGCTGTTCTATCAGGGCACCGCCCTCCCATGCCCGGTGGCTAATGCGCTGTCCAGCAGCCCCTTGCTGGGGGGCACCGAGCAGCGCGGGGGCCGTGGGGGGCAGGCGCACAGGGAAGAATCTGGTAAATCCAAAGAGAGAATCAACAGAACGAAGGCGGAAACAGCACCTCAGAGAGACGGTACCTCCCCCACCCGCCATCTGCTACCCACCCCCAGGAGGCAGCGCCCGGGGCCAGCAACGCCCAGATCTCAGGCAGGGACACAGACCCGGTGCGCGGCTGGGGGCCTGGAGCCAGCCCGTAGCCTCATAGCGGGTACAGACCAACCCCCTGCCAGAGCCATGGCCACACGCCCGGCCCAGGTGGGAACCAGCCGGAGGCGCCAGGTGGACAGGAATCTGCTGTCGGAGCTGCAGTGGGGCGTCCCACAGGGGACAGATGCCCCGGAGGGGTGGGGGGCAGAGACAGGACGGAGCCGGGAGGGAGAGACGGGCACAGAGCAGGGCACTCGACGCGCTGATCGGACGGGTCGGGCACCGCTTGGAAAGCGACAGGTAGCGTCCGGCCCAGCTGCAGCACGGCTGGGAGCAGCCCCCACAGGACAGAGCCCACGGGGTGGAGCTGGGCCCTGGACAGGACCCGAGCGCAGGGGGATGTGGCTGGACGGACTGACAGTGAACTAGCCGAGAGCGCCCAGCACGGGGAGCGGGATCGGCGCAGGCAGTGACAGGTGATAGAACAGTGTCTGATCCAGACAGACGGGAGCGTCCCCTGGGGAACAGAGCTCGACGGGTGAATCCAGAACTGAGCTCAAGACCCCAGACCCGGCTCCAGAGCCAGGGAGAGCCCAGGACGCAGGAACGGTGCTGACCCGCGGGGTTGGTACACAGAGTAACAGGGGACGTCCCATGCCGACAGGGAGCCCGGCTGGAGACAGGACAGATCCGGAGTGGCCGGGGCGCTGGCTGGACAGACAATAACGGAGCCCCTGGTGCTCTGTGGGCCTCAGACAGAGGTGGGTGTGGGACGCGGTGCCTGGTTACTCACCCAATCTCCAGGGTGATGTAGCTCGAGTGGCCATCAAAGACAATTATCACCACACAGGTGTAAGTCCCAGACTGGCTCATGGAGAGATTGGGGAACAGGAGCTCAGAGCCAGAGGAGGCCAACAGAGCCCCAAATGTACAGGACAGCTGGAGAGTGGAGCCCTCAGCATAAACCTCCTGGCGGGGGGTGATCGTGGGGGTGTTGGGCCCATCTGGAGCAAACACAGGAGAGCCGCGTGTTGGGGAGGGGCTGGGGGGGGGGGCTGCTCCGGCTGCAGAGACCTCAGCACCCAAGGGGCCTAGATCCAAAAGCCAGAAGGCACCCCCGACACTGTCCAGCCGGTGCTGCTGCGTAGCTTGGGAGGATCCCCCCACTTCATCCAGCCCAGGGAGGAGATGGGTGGTTTGGAGAGAGACGCCCTGTCTGGATCCAAAGTCCCCGAGTGATGGAGATCCCCCCCTCCCCATGGCTGCTCCCCTGGGGTCCCCTCCCTGCGGGGAAGTGGCCCCGTACCACCCAGGCGGGCTCTGACTCACTGCAGCTCCCGGCTGCGGGGTCTTGCTCCGCGTTGGCCTGAGGGGTTAGACTCTCTGCTCCCACAGACCCCAGCCCCACGTTTGTCTTTGTGTCTCACAGATCCTCCATCTCCTGCCCCCTGGACCCCCGATCTCTGACCCACTTAGGGTGACCAGACAGCAAATGTGAAAAATCGGGACAGAGGGTACAGGGTAATAGGAGCCTATATAAGAAAAAGTCCCAAATATCAGGACTGTCCCTATAAAATCGGGACATCTGGTCACCCTAGACCCACCGGCCAGAGCTCCCCCGGGAAGTGGGGAAGGACCCTTGGCCGCCGGGGCTCACACTTCCAGAGCACGTCCAGCCGGACGGTGGCGTTCTGGGAACTGGCAGCGTTGGTGGCCAGGCAGGTGGAACTGCCCGAGTCATTCCTGCTGCCAGGATCCAGCGTCAGGGTCTAGTTGTCGCTGCTCAGAGGGACACGGCTTGTAGCCTTAACGATCTCGTTATCCCTGAACCAGCTGTAGGAAACCAGGCTGCCCCAGGCCTCACAGTTCAGTGTCACGGCCTCGGGTTCGATGGGGATGGAGCGGGAGATGGAGATTGACCCCAGACACCCCCTCTGCGAGACAGAAAGGGGCAGGCAGTTATCCGAGGCACAGGGGAGCAGCCAAGGGGGGGTGTATGTCCCGGGATGGGGTAACATTCTCCTGCCCCTGGAGCTCCGGCCTGGCCCTGTGACGTTACTGACATAACCTGTGACCATATGGATCATTGTTGCAACCACTGTTCTATATTTGCAGCAAATCCTGTACAAAGGTTGTCATGTGAGGTGTCTATGAAAAGGTTATGATCTGCTGGATATGATGATGCTGTCTGTAGGTGTGTATCACTTGTGTAGTTGAAGTTCTGAATATTGGCTCTGTCCTTGTATCTCAATGTGTTTAATTCTAAATAGCATTAGTGAAGCATTTGGTCAGCTTCTTGAGAAAGGGATTTGTAAATTAAGTGCCCCATCAAGAAACACTTAACTGACAATGGACTTTGGAAGACTCCAATCCACATACGAAGTCTCCCTGGGGGTGTGAGCAATGGCTGCCACCTGTAAAGAACTGAGTCATGCGTGGACATGTGACTGGCCCATGTGACTCCAGACTCCATTTTGCTGCTGTAATTTTCCACAGTGAGAACAAAGAGGTGTCCTTGCACCTGGAAGAGACTATAAAAAGCTGATGCCTCATCTCCATCTTGTCTTCAATCCTGCTTCTGACCTCTGGAGGGACTTTGCTACAGACGGAAACTCTGAACAAAGGACTGAAGGACCCATCCCAGCTGGGGATGTTCCAGAGACTTGATTTGAACCTGCAGTTTGTTCTATCGCTGCTACAAGCCTGAACCAAGAACTTGGCCATCTCTGTATGTAATTGATTCCATGTAACCAATTCTAACTCTCATCTCTATCTTTTTCCTTTTATGAATAAACCTTTAGATTTTAGATTTTAGACAGCGTGATTTTTGGGTAAGATCTGACTTGTATATTGACCTGGGTCTGGGGCTTGGTCCTTTGGGATCGGGAGAACCTTTTTCTTTTACTGGGGTATTGGTTTTCATAGACATTTGTCCCCATAACGAGTGGCACTGGTGGTGATACTGGGAAACTGGAGTGTCTGAGGGAATGGCTTGTGTGACTTGTGGTTAGCCAGTGGGGTGAGACCGAAGTCCTCTCTGGCTGGCTGGTTTCAGAGTAGGAGCCGTGTTAGTTCTCCTCGGTCTGGCTGGCTGGTTTGGTGCCTTGGAGGTGGAAAGACCCCAGCCTTGGGCTGTAACTGCCCTGCTCTAAGCAATTTGTCCTGAATTGACACTCTCCTTTGGGTCCCACCAAAGCCAGCATTGTTACAGGCGCCCCCCACCCACGCATTGGGGAGTGAGCCAGGCTGACCCTGATCCTGCTGGGGGCAGGGGGAGCGTCCCACGGACACAGGGTGTGATGGTGCACTCCATATGATTTTATGAAAATATGCTAATAAGTGTGAATATGATGTAACGGGAATATGCGTCATGCAAAAGGTCTCTTGTAAAGTATCATTACAAAGCTTATAATCTACTATGTGTGGTCATCCTATTTGTATGTATGTACCACTCTTGTATCTGAAACTAGAAATATGAAATATAACTCTGAGGGCCTATTGTAATTATGTAAAGTGTGGGCCATTAAGGATGGTTTGGAATCTTGATGACTCCCATTAACCAGGACCATTGTCTGCAGATGGCTGTGTTTACCTGTGAGTCTTCCTGTATATGTGTGTGCTGGCAAGTGGGCAATGAAGTCTTGCAGTGACATGTTGTCACGGAGTATTGGGGGACTCAGGGCCCTGCACCCCCGGCTTCCTGCGATTCACCATGACTCTCAGCCAGCCAGTAAAGCAGAAGGTTTATTTGGATGACAGGAATACAGTCCAAGACAGGTCTTGCAGGCACAGACAACAGGACCCCCTCAGTTAAGTCCAGCTTGGGGTCCCAGGGCATTCCAGCCCACCCCCCTTCGGGGGGGTCAGAGCCATCTCTGTCTCCCAGCCATCTCTC